GCGCGGCTGGAGAAGGCGCTGCAGCGAGGGTTCGATGTGGAGTACGGGGATTTGCATACCATGGCGTGCGACGTGTGCAAGCAAAGTGGCGGCTACTGCGGAGCAAACGGGACGTACCCATTTTACTGCATTTGTGGAGACAGAGGAGATGCACATCCTTACGTCTGCACAAGCATATCTACTTCTAGTAACTCTATTTCCCTTCTCGTTCTCCTCCTTCCATTGCATCAAATGCTAACAAATGTTTGAAATTATACCCTAATTTGACGGATTTCAAAATAGATTTAGATTTTTTTGTCAAATAATTAACGAAAATTAACCTTTTTATTCAAAGTTTAAAAACTAAAGAAAAATATTCATTTGAAAATTGACACACTCAAAGTGAAGTATTTGAGATTTTATGAATTAACCTGGGAAATAGGCTTTAAACATTATCTTATTGATGAATTTCAATTCTTCAGAAGTATTTTCTTAGATCTTCTTTTAAATTTTTGCTCCGCTTTAACAAATAGTTTTAGAATTGCAAATTACTAAAATGAAAGAAATGGAAGAAGTAGTGTTTTAAGAGAGAGATTAATGAGAGAGAATTTAGTGAAAAATTAAAAAGAGATCAGAGAGAGTGTGTATGCTTTTTTTTTTTCCTTCTTCTGGAAGACGGGAGAAAAGACGGGAATCGAACTGAATAATATTTTTCAAAGGCCAATTATGAAATGGTGAAATTATAAATTACCCCTCCTTACGTATCTCTCATTTTCTCTACTCTTTCCTCTTCATCTCAGCTCTCTCTTTCTCTCTCTTATTCTTTCTTCCATTTCTCGTGGATCATTTTCCTCTCTTTGTGATTTGATTATTTTTTTTACTATCAAAATTTTCAAAGACGCACACTCCTCTCTCTTTCTTCCATTTTTTTCTACACCACATCCATTCGATTTTTTGTTTCCTTTGGATTTTTTTTGTTTTGATTTTGAATGCATGCATTTTTCTCTCTCCTCTCTCTCCCTTATTTTTCATACATCTACTCTCAATCTTTGACTCTATTGTAGAGCTTAAAATTAAAAAAACAAAAAAAAAACAAATAACAAAAGAACGGGTCAAACAAAGAGTTCACATAAGTCTCCCACATAAAAAAGAAAAAAAATAGAAGACAAAAAAAGGCTCTCGCTCCCGCTCTCAAGACGGCATAAGAGTGATAAGGAAGAAGATAGCAATAAATATTTAGGGTTTTTGTTATGGTGAGTAAATAAGTGAGAGAAATTAGTTGAATTTTTAGAGGAGAGATAAAGGGAGGAGAAAGTGATAATTGAATAAAAAATGGAGAGGGTAAATACATATTTTCACACAAAAATTGATGTCTACGAAACATAAAAATAAGAACAGGCCACATAAATAAGTGAGAGAAAAACATAAAAATAAGAACAGGCCCGATAGCCCAGAAAAGACATATGTTGGTAAAGAGAAATTAGTAGGGCTGAAAGAAGTTGGGCCAACCCGAAAAACCGACCCGAACCGAGCTGGTTCAGGTTGGTTTGGTTTAGATGTTTACTATAAACAATGTGCCATAGAGTAAGATTAAGATTATTTATACAAAAACTCTTGAATAAACATTCTATTATTTGCTCTTTTTATCAAGCACTTCAATTACTTAACCGTACTCCATGTTTTATGTTCTATTGCAGGAAAGTCAAGTTTTCAGACAAAATTAGTCATAGGTACTACAGAGTTCTAGCTTATGCTTAAATTTCATAACCAAACCCTTCTCTTCATTTTTAATTGTACCATTCACCCAATTTCTCGATTGCATTGCTAATTGCTTTACTGAATCCAATCTTCAGTTGCAGTTGCTTCAGGAAGCATCATTTTTTTAATCCTCTTCATGATCTTCATCTACTACACAAGGATACGCATCTCAAACAAGGAAGAAATTGAGGAAATTGTCAGGAGACATTCCACACATATACCCAAGCGATACAGTTACTCAAAGCTGAAGAAAATCACTCATTCCTTCAAGAACAAGCTCGGCCAAGGAGGATTTAGCACCGTCTACAAAGGAAAGCTACCAGACGGTCGCGACGTTGCTGTGAAACTTTTGAATGAATCCAAAGAAAATGGTCAAGATTTTATCAATGAAGTTGTTAGCATCACTACAACTTCACACGTAAACATAGCCACTCTTTTAGGTTTCTGCTACGAGCGGAATAGAAGAGCCTTGGTTTATGAATATATGCCCAAAGGGTCATTGGATAAGTATATATTTCATAAAGATCCGCAAAAAAGTGATATGGGGTTGGATTGGAACACACTCTATACCATCGTCATCGGCGTGGCTCGAGGCTTAGAGTACTTGCATCGCGGCTGCAACACAAGGATTTTGCATTTCGACATCAAACCACACAACATTCTTTTGGACAATGAGTTCTGCCCCAAGATCTCAGACTTCGGCCTTGCCAAGCAATGCCGAGCCAGAGAGAGTCACGTGTCGATGACGGGTGTGAAGGGGACGATAGGATTCATGGCACCTGAAGTAGTATTTAGAAACATTGGTAAGGTTTCCCACAAGTCTGATGTTTATAGCTATGGAATGTTGGTTCTTGAAATGGTGGGAGAAAGAAAGAATCCTAACGAAGGAGTGGGGCAGAGGAGTGAAGAGTACTTTCCTGATTGGATATACAAGGATCTTACACAAAGTGAAACAGATGAAGGCTGTAGTTGGGGCAATACAGAGGAAGAAGATGAAATGGCAAGAAAAATGATAATTGTGGGGTTGCATTGCATTCAGACATTGCCAGACGACAGGCCGTCGATGAGTGATGTGGTGGGGATGTTGGAAGGGAGCGTTGATGGCTTACAGATTCCACCAAAACCCAACTTCATGGGAACTCCTACAACTACTTCAACTACGCTGCCCCATCCTTCTTCTTCATCCCCCTCGAACTAATGGCACTGACTTGTTCTTTGCTGTTTGGACGCAATCAAACCAAAACATTTTAGCATTAGGAGCATCTCTGTGATCTAAGACTCTTTGATTTTAATATCTTTGTGTAAACGATCGACTGATTCAAAGTTATATATGGTATAATGGAAAGCATGAAAGTGCTTCTGTAAAATAATTAATGGAGAAACTTTGACTTGAATTTTTTTTTAAGCAACTTACAGAGATGGACTGCTTCAGCCAGGGGACTACGAGTTTTTGATCTAGTCCACGGAAGCCTTGGGAAATTCTCACTCCATTGAGAATTTCTTAAGAAGCAGATACTATCCGTCGAAGCAGGAGATCCACGTTCCACGTTCATATATCAATGTTGCCTAAAGTCGTCTCTCCTTTCATTTTCTTTTGTTGCTGATGAAAACGAAGGAGATGAAGAAACTCATCAGCTGATGGTGGGGTTCGGGAAAGATGTCAACGACAGATGGATTTTCATTTTTTTTATGCTCTGACTTTCTGTGAAGATGACACTTCAACTGCAGCTAAAACTACAGAATCATGAGCTGATTACATCTCTTTCTGATGAATCCGGTTGTTCAGAAGCTAAACAAAATGAGAATTATCCATCTCTCATTGACCTCCTTCGGCCTAAACCACACGTTCATCGGCAACTTCTTGTTCATCTCCTTCATCGCGTTTCATCTTTCGCCATCTTTTGGCGATGACGAATTTAAAGCCTGCGGTATCAGTTACAATTGCGGAGAATTGGTAAACATAACCTATCCCTTCTGGGGGAATAAGAGGCAGGGGTTTTGCGGGCGGCGAGAATTCGAGCTCAACTGCAAACGAAACCGAACCACCACGATTCAAATCAACTCGTTCGACTACAACGTCCTGAGAATCAACCAAACGGATCACAGAATGACGATCGCAAGATCAGACCTCCTAGTCCCGGGTAACCTATGCCCTAAAAACAAAACCGGAACGGCGAATTTGGACTACAATGTGTTCAGATATTCCGAAAACGATCTCCAAATCTCTCTGTGGTACGATTGCCCGCTGCAAGGGGAGAACGTAGAGAGTTACAGATTTTCTTGCGGGGGGGAAGGAGAGAAGAACGGGAGCGGGAATTACGCATTCGACGCGATGCAGACGATTTGGAGGAATCAATTCGAGGGGAAATGTAGAACGAACGTCGAAGTGAAAGTAAGGAGAGAGGGGTGGGAAGGCGGGAACGGGAAGAACAGAACGGGCGCGGTGGAGAGTGCTCTGAGAGGAGGATTCGACGTGGAGTACGGGAATCTGTACTCGACGGAGTGTGAGGGGTGCAAGGAGAGCGGGGGAAAGTGCGGAGGAAACGGGACGTACCCATTTTACTGCATTTGCGAAAGCCAAGATGCGCAGCCATCCGCCTGTAGAGCTGCGGCTGCTCCTGGTACGTACGTTTGATTCCTCCTTTGCTTTTAAACTACGGAATCTAGCTCTCTATCACCTGCTACTACCTGAAGGTGATGGACTCAAAAGGAAGGGCCCGTTTCAAAACTTTTCTCTTTTGTTGTTTTGTCGTTTTCTGTTCTTTTAAAATATAAATATTTGGTAATTACTCGAATTTCTCGTTTCTCGTACATATTATTAAATAACAAAATCAATTATTTTTATTTTTTTTATCCCTATTTCCAATTTTTTCCAAACAATAAAAGTATTATTTTATTGTTTTTTCTCATAAAATACATAATAAATGTGACAAAATTTTGAATACTTAATTTAAAATTTCAATTTTCCTATAAATTTTCGTTTTTTATTTACAATTTTAGAGTTTCTGTAAAAAAAAAAAAAAGAACGAACGAACCAACTAGAGTCATCACCTATCAAACATAATCTTACTTTTTTATTGAAAAAAAGAAAATGAGAAATAGAGCTGAAAGATTGAGACCTTAGATTTAAGAGAAAGAATGGGTAAAATACAACAAGTTGAAAGGTTGCATATTTTATAAATTTTATATTATTTTTAATTATATGAAATTTTTTTATTTATTTTCCAACTCACTTCTATAACATTATAATCATTAGTAATCATTTTCTAAGAGTTGGGATCAAACTGTCACTTTTTGAAAATTAAAGATAAAATTGAAACATATCTTCAATCTTAGGGATCAAGTGTATTTTACCAAAAAGAAAAGTTAGGAAAGTTGCACATATGGTAAAATATAAGTAAAATGTTAAGCAAATATAGCACACTAAAAAAATATATGCAAATATTGCATAAAGATTAAATTTTACTCAAATTCAACTTTCTTTGTACAAAATTACCCTTCCAGGGTAAATCCACGATCACCACAGCATGCTGGCAAAACCATGGTACTAGGATTGCTATTGTGGTAGTAATGCAGTGATTACCATGGGAGTCAGCTAGCAATTGCCATGGTTCGAATAACAAATAATAGTAAATCACTTGTTTTTAGAGCGGTAGTAAACAATTTATAACTATATCATTCATTACTATAAAATGAGTTAATTGATGTCTTAAAAAAAGAGTTAATTAATGGTAACTATAAATCACTAACAAAGATAATGAGATGTCAAAAAAAACAAAAACAAAAAAACAAAGATAAGGCCAAAAGCGAAAATTACAATATATATATATATATATATATATATATATATATACCCACATTAATGAATATTAAAATTTGTCATATTTACACATTCTTTTGTTAAAAAAAAACAAAATTAAAAATACCTATAACTTTTCTTTTAAAAAAAAAATACTAATTTTGCCATCCATTAAAATAATCTACAATTTTATAGAGAAAAATATAATATTTTTAAGGGGTAAGAAAAATATTTGTTTTGTCAAAAAAAAAAAAAAACCGGAAAGACAAATATTTGCCACATTTGTAAACATTGCAGCAAAATGACAAAATTTTAAAAGTAAAAATTTTATTTATTTCTATTCCAATTTTACTCTTATTATTTTCATAAATTGAGAAAGAAATCAACATCAACCATATACTTCATTTTAGGTGACATATCTAATATGGAGTATATCATCCATATTAGGTATATAAAATATGAGAGATAGAAAAATAAAGTATCTAAAGAAGAAAAATACTTAGAACTTACCACCTCTTAATTAGAGATATATGTCAATACCACTAAATTATGCTCACTTTACTTCATTGGAAATTTGATAATTCTTTATTACCGTGAACCATAGAAAAAATATCTCCCTTTCTACATTTATCTCGTGCACTTAAAAACTTTAATGGGGCGAACACCACTATTGTTCTTCTTCAAAGAATAGCACTTAAAAACCAATCCACTGTCTGCATTTTTGTAAAATCACTTCTAAATACTTCTATGTTTTGTTTTGCAGGAGTATCATACAGATTCCCGAAGAAAATATCAATCATAGGTACCATTTCTTGTACCATTCACCAGATTTTGCATTACATTATTGCTTTATTGAGCATATTAATTGAGACACCCTTCCTTCTTCAGTTGCAATTGTTTTAGGTGGCATCATTTCCATAATCTCCCTCGTCGTCATCATCATCTATCACACAAGAAACAGCATCCCTAAAGACAAAATCGACGAAATTATAAGCAGATATTCCACACACACTCCCAAGCGATACAGTTACTCAAAGCTGAAGAAAATCACAGACTCCTTCAACAACAAGCTCGGCCAAGGAGGATTTAGCACCGTCTACAGAGGAAAACTACCGGACGGCCGCGATGTGGCCGTGAAACTTCTGAATGAATCAAGAGATCAAAATGGTCAAGATTTTATGAACGAAGTTGTTAGCATCACCAGAACTTCGCACGTAAACATAGTCTCTATCTTGGGTTTTTGCTACGAACGGAACAAAAGAGCTTTGATTTATGAGTATATGCCCAAAGGGTCATTGGACAAGTACATATTTCACAAAGATCCGCAAAGAAGTAATGTGGAAAAGTTGGATTGGAACACGGTTTATAGCATTGCTGTTGGGGTGGCTAGAGGATTAGAGTACTTGCATCAAGGCTGCAACACAAGGATCTTGCATTTCGACATAAAACCACACAACATTCTGTTGGACAATGAGTTCTGCCCCAAGATCTCAGACTTTGGGCTTGCCAAGCAATGCAGGGCCAGAGAGAGTCACGTGTCGATGACCGGCGTGAAGGGGACGGCGGGATTCATGGCGCCGGAAGTAATATTTAGGAACCTCGGAAAAGTTTCCCCCAAGTCTGATGTTTATAGCTATGGAATGTTGGTTCTTGAGATGGTGGGAGAAAGAAAGAATCCGAATGAAGGAGCAGGGGAGAGCAGTGAAGAGTACTTCCCCGATTGGATATATAAGGATCTTACACAGAGTGAAATGGAGGGAGGAGGGTGCTGGTGGGGGAGAACAGAGGAAGAAGAAGAAATGGCAAGAAAAATGATAATTGTGGGGCTGAGTTGCATTCAAACATTTCCAGAGGAGAGGCCGTCGATGTGCGATGTGGTGGGGATGTTGGAAGGGAATGCTGATGCCTTACAGATTCCGCCAAAACCCAATTTGTTTGGATCAGCTTCTTCTTCCTCTGCGTCCACCAGCTCATATTTACAACACTCAGTTTAACAATTAGCTTCATTTCTTTCTTTCTTTTTTGAAGTCCAATTGAACCCCATGAGAAGGCGCCACAGAGTTCTTCATTTCAAAATCTCCAACATGTAAACATTCTTTCAACTATTATAATTGAAAACCCACCTTTCTCTCTGTGTTTCATTCTTCTTTTACTACTTTCTACCATTCAGTACTTGAAATTGGCTGCCAAATCAAGAAACCATTTTACCTGAATCAGAAACTCAAATAATCTCCATCGTAATCTTCATCTGTTACACAGGATGAAAGGGTTTTTCTTTTAGATCTCCATAATCCTTGACGAAAGTTCCAAGTCTCTCATATTTGACCAATTTGTTCCTTTGACTAAACAATTGACTAATTCAAACAATCTCCTCTTCTTCTGTTCATGTTTTTGTTCAGACTTTTCTTTGAAGACGACACTTCACAGTCAGTGAGACTTGAAAATTGATAGCCGGGATTATCTCCTTCTTTCTTTCTGATCGTTTCATTGTTCAGAAGCTCAAGAAAATGAAAACATCCCAAAGCACCACCATCAGTAACGTCTTCTTCATCGCGTTTCATCTTTCGCTATGTTTCACCGTAGACGCCATTGATGAATTTAAAGCCTGCGGTCACAGTTACAATTGCGGAGAATTGGTTAACATAGCCTATCCCTTCTGGGGGAATGAGAGGAAAGGGTTTTGCGGGAGGCGAGAATTCGAACTCAAATGCAAACACAATCGAACCACCACCATTCAAATCAATTCTCTGGAATACAACATTCTGAAAATCAACCAGTCGGATCACAGAATGACGATCGCAAGATCGGACCTATTCGATAATTTATGCCCTAAAAATCAAACCCAAACGGCGACTCTGGATCACCATCTGTTCGTGTATTCCTCGAACGATCAGAACATCTCCGTGCGGTACAATTGCTCGGCGCAAAAGGAAATTCCGGAGACGTACAAATTTAGTTGCGGTTCGGAAGAGGAGAAGAATGGGAGAGCGAATTATGCTTTCGAACCGTCGGCGGCGACTTGGAATCTGCTAATCGAGGAGTGTACGATGAACATCGATGTGAAGGTTACGATGGAAGGGTTGAAAGAAGGTTTGAAGAACAGAACGAGATTAGTGGAGAAGGCTGTGAGACGTGGGTTCGATGTGGAATACGGGAATTTGTATACTGTGGCGTGCAACGATTGCGAGAGAAATGGCGGCAATTGCGGAGGAAACGGAACGTACCCATTTTACTGCATTTGTAGAAGCGGAGAAATACATCCTTACTTCTGCGGAACAGCTCATGCTCTTGGTAATTCCTCGTTCTTCTTCTTCCATTTGCTTCAAAGTTATATATGAATTTTTATGCCACAAAATTCTCAAAAGCAATCTTATGAATCATTTCCGGTGGCCCACTTCCTAGTCTTCTGAATGACTTGTGACAAGAAACAACCCCCTAAATCTAATTCTAACATGGTCGGTTCACCTGAAATTTTCTTCAAAAACTTCTCTTCATTTTCCCACCTTTCTGTTTCTTCTTCTTCTATATTCTAAACTCAATCATTTTCTTCCATTTACGAATTTCAGGAGAACCCCTTTTCTTTTCATCGTCATCTTTACAGCTTTAACCTGCCAAACTGTGTCCTCAGACAAAAAGTTTGAAGCTTATGCTCCTAACTCTTCGGGATGGGTCCAAATATATGCTAGTCTTTCTGAATAGCTCGTTCACACAGCTCCTTCTGTGGATACCCAAGCTTCACCTGCAAAGATGAAAACCCAGTTATAAGAATTTCAGAAGATGATTATGACATCAAAGATATCTCCTACCAAAGCCATTCTTTTCTTCTTCTACAACTGCACCTCCCTTCCTCCCAATTATAGCTACCCAATTGATTGTTCGAGCAAAAGCAAACTCCATTCTTTTTCAGCTTTCCATGATTGCTTTTTGGAGCTTATGTACTTCTTTTCCGATTCTTGAGGTGCCCCTAAGTAATGGGCAGATGATTTTTCTGGGTTGTTGAGGAATATTTATTCTGATATCTTGAAGATGGTACCACTTCAAATTGGACTGCTCAAAAGCGTAGCAACTGTGACAGTGGTGGCCAGTGTGGATTCCAAAGCAACTAGTATGTGTGCTTTTATCCTGATCAACCTCATCTCGAAACCTGCAAAGAGACTTTTTAGAAAATCTTAATTCTGTTCTTGGTCTTGTGTTAAAGTTGCCTAGCCATAATGTTATGTGTTTTGACTGTTTTTTCTCATTCTTCTGGTAAAACAATCGTCTAACGATTTGCTTCCCAATTGCTTACCATGACAGAAGAGTCCAATGATAAATGGAAGAACACCGTCATCGGTAAATACTAGACCTCGATTTCATATTACATACATTATTATTACGTTTGGAAACTCAACAAACTTAACAAGAAAAATGAATGCCATGGCAGGTGTTGGTTGTGGTATTGGAGGCATAATTTTAATGGGTACAATTTCTCTCATCTTGCTGCGCTTGCAGAAGAACAAGCATGCCCATGCTTCTTCCTTTCCCCTTGGAAACAATTATTTTGATCCTCCATCGAAGGAACTTGAGAAAGGAGAAAACTACATGGTTGTACCTCTGTTCTCTTATGGCGAGCTTGAAGAAGCCACAGACAAATTCAATCCAGCCAAAGAACTTGGAGATGGTGGCTTTGGCACCGTCTACTATGGTGAAGATCAGTCCATATTTTTAGTTTTCTGACATAAGCATATGGATTAGAGTATGAAGTTCTAATTCATTTGTCTGTGCTTTGATATCTTCATAGGCAAACTTCGAGACGGTCGTGAAGTTGCGGTTAAACGATTGTTCGAAAACAACTACAGGAAAGTTGAACATTTCATGAATGAGGTGAAGATCCTCACTTGTTTGCACCACCAACATCTAGTAACCCTTTATGGATGCACCTCTAGACGCTCTCGTGAACTCCTACTCGTGTATGAGTTCATTCCGAACGGTACTCTAGCCGATCATCTTCATGGAAACCGAGCAAAATCCGGTGAGCTTCCATGGATTACAAGGTTGAAGATTGCCATAGAGACTGCAAGTGCTCTGGCTTATCTCCATGCTTCTAAGACCATCCACCGTGATGTTAAAACCACCAACATTCTTCTTGACAAGAACTTAAGTGTTAAAGTGGCCGATTTAGGATTGTCTTGCCTTTCTCCTACGCAAGCCACCCATGTTTCAACTGCTCCACAAGGAACTCCTGGCTACATCGATCCAGAGTATCAAGAATGTTATCAACTTACTAATAAAAGCGACGTCTTTAGTTTTGGGGTCGTATTGGTTGAGTTGATATCTTCAAAGCCAGCAGTTGATGTCACAAGGCACAGGCATGAGATTAACTTGTGGACAATGGCAATCAACAAGATCCAAAACAACGATCTACACAACTTTGTAGACCCATCTCTTCGATTTGAAACGGATCAAAGTGTGAGAGATATGATATATGCAGTTGCAGGGTTGGCATTTCAATGCCTGCAAAGTGTGAAAGACATGAGGCCGTCGATGTTGGAAGCTTTGGAAATTCTAAAGAATATAGAAAGTCGAAGTTGTGGCAGAAGGAAGACAGAAGAATTAGACATATTAAGCGAAGATGAGCTGAAGGTTGGTTCAGTGCCACAATCCCCGGATTCTGTTACTATGCCTTGGATTAGCAAATCCTCAACACCAAATGGTAGTGGGTAAGGCTTTTTGTTTGTGGTTTCATGGTAAGATAGAATACATGTTACCATGTTAAAACTTTAAAAATACTGTCTTGTCTTTTTTGTTATTCCAACCAATTTTTATTAACTCAATAAAATTTTTGGCGAGGGAGATAAAAATTTGAGAGAGAGAAATTTTCTAGAGAGACCAATTTAGATAGACAAATATTTTAGAACTATAGAAAAAATATGGAGAGAAAAATATCTCAAAGAAAAAAAAATTGAGTGTTAGAAGAAAAAATGAGATTTTGAAAAATAGAAGTTTTCAAAAACTATACTTTTTAATCTACTAAAGATTTCAAAAATGATTTTAATCTACTGATTTTAAAAAATAGAAAACAAAAATTTTGATTGGTTATCAAGTAAGCATATTTTTTAAAACTAAAAACTAAATACCCAAAACAAAAAACGAATGCTTATGAATCGGGCAAATTTCATCAATAATGTAATGTTTTAAAAAATTACAAAAATAGTGTAGCTTTTTAAGTAATTATATAAAAAATAGAAATTAAATATAAAAAAGAAAATCTAAAACTAAGGTATGCACACAAACTATTGACGAAAATAATGTACCGGCAGTTGAAGTAAAATATCGTATTAATTTGATGCGGTGTCATCCACGTGTGAAGGTTGGGTGAGTCAGACATTATACGCGATTCCAAGGTAAATCGCGTATATTGCACGCGATTTTCACGTAAATTGCGTACATTTGGGAAACAAAAAAAAAAATGGAACTCTCTCTGTTACGAGGGACACTTGAATGGCTACCGATTTTCCAACTCATCCTCAAGCCACCCTTTCCGATTATGTCGGTGGAATCGAAATGAGTTGGTTTCTGTAAAAAAAATTGATGACTGGAAGTGAAAGGTAACATAAATAGAGAAATCGAAGACTGGCTTCTCATTTCATCGTCCTGTTTCCAATTTTAACGAATATTTCCATCTCAATCTCAGTTCATCGAGTTGGGTTTTTGCTGTACAGTTTGATAATTCACAAAATTGATGGGGATTTGTGTTTGAACAGTTGAATTTTGGTGGGGTGGATCCATGATTAGGAACTAAAGAGCAAAGTTGGAAGGAGCAAAATCCCAATCGTACGATTTACGTGCCATTTTCCCATTACGCGATTTTTTTATTATTATCATCTCTTTAAAATCACGTGCCTTAATCGTGGAGCCACGTCCCCAAAATCGCGGGCACTCGACGCGATTTAGCCTAAATCGCATGAAATTTCTTGTGATTTATCTTAAATCGCATTCCTTGCCTGCGATTTACCTCCCTTATCTTCGGAATTAGTTTCGGACCTACTGAAATCTGTATTTTATTTTTAAAAATACATTATTTTTGAAAAAAATCCCTTATCAAACGGGTAGTTGATAGCTTGAATTCTACAATAAATGTTTGAGGGTTGAATTTTTGCCCTCCATGTGAAAACTTTTTTTAATTTATTGGAGTGTTTGCTCCAGTCAACTAAGCACGCATCCACTAACTCCCATGACTTTGCTTCAATACTGCTCTGTTCTCACGAATCCTTTACCATGTCTTCTTCTCCCATATTGCAAAACTCAGATTTCTCTTCACTGGAAATGAATTCCAGATCCTTCCCATTTCCTCTTTTACACCTTTCTTTAGCGTCCATGCTCCTCATTCTCCTCATCTCTCTTCCTGCTTCCTCTGCTTATGAAGAATGGTTCTTGAACTGCAAGGATTCGTTGAACTGCGAGAGTGTTGGTACCATCGAATTTCCTCTCTGGAGATACGACGGAACCGGAAGTTGCGGTCGTCCCGAGGCAATGAAGCTCAATTGCGAGGGAAGCCGCCGCACAACCACACAAATCTTTGGAGCAAAATTCGAACTCCTGGGTTTCACCACAAAAGATCAAATTCTTATGGTAGCTGAAATCGACTTTTCGGATCAATTTTGTTGGGGAGATCACAAAAACTCGTCCATTCCCATCTATGCGATCATTCCTGTATCTTATGAATGCAGCAACCCCACTTGTTTCGGAACTAAATTTAGCTACGTACCATTTGAAAACACGACCGCTAATGCTGATGCATATTGTAAGGTAAGTGCAGTAGTGCCAATTTCACCATCATTGCTGTTAACAGAACTTGCGGATTTGCAGAAGGTGGAGCAGAATATCAGAGCAGAGTTTTTGTATGAGCCAAAGGTTGACGCTCAAGTATGTAGAAGTTGCAGTGTTCCTGGGGGTGTTTGTGGTTATGATTTACTTCTGAATCAAACAAGATGCTACTGCTCATCTCCCTCTAATGGGTTTGAAGTCTGTTCTTCCTCACTGATTGCAGCATCTCCTCCATCCGGATCCGGTATGAATTCAAACTTTGAACTGTTTTTGTTTTCCCTCCGAGACCGCTGCAACAGTTCTATCTAGTTTCAATCAGTATTCAACTCTGTGACCTAAAGAAAAATTAGTGAAATTAAAACAAGTAATGAGAGAAAGCAAGAGATTAGTAAGAGAAAATGTGTATGAAAGAGAGTATGCGATCGTTCCTGTAAAGAGAAGAGTATGCGAACATAGAGATTTGCTTTTTTTTTTTCTTTAGAGGACTTTTATATGCTTGTCCTATTTCATTTTTTCTTTTTCAGGAAAGTTACTGAAGAAAATATTTATCATAGGTACTACAGACTTCTAGCTTTGCTAAAATTTCATAAGATTTCTACATTGAATTACTGTCTTGCTTATCATATAAATTGAAACCTCCTTCTTCAGTTGCAATTGCTTCAGGAAGCACCATTTTGATAATCTCCATCATCATCTTCATCTACTGCACAAGGAAGAGAACCTCAAACAAAGACGAAATTGAAGAAATTATAAAGACATATTCCACACAAACACCCAAGCGATATAGTTACTCAATGCTAAAGAAAATCACAGATTCCTTCAAGAACAAGCTTGGCCAAGGAGGATTCAGCACTGTCTACAAAGGAAAGTTACCAGACGGTCACGAAGTGGCCGTGAAACTTTTGAGTGAATCCAAAGAAAATGGCCAAGATTTTATGAATGAAGTTGTAAGCATCACCAGAACTTCCCACGTAAATATAGCCACTCTTTTGGGTTTCTGCTACGAGCGGAATAAAAGAGCTTTGATTTACGAGTATATGCCTAAAGGGTCACTGGATAAGTATATATTTCACAAAGGGCTGCAGAAAAATGATGCGGAGTTGGATTGGAGCACACTGTATGGCATTGTTATCGGCGTGGGCCGAGGCTAGAGTACCTGCATCGAGGCTGCAATACAAGGATTTTGCATTTTGACATAAAACCACACAACATTCTTTTAGACAATGAGTTCTGCCCCAAAATCTCAGACTTTGGGCTAGCCAAGCAATGCAGGGCCAAGGAGAGTCATGTGTCGATGACAGGCGTGAAGGGGACAGTAGGGTTCATGGCACCTGAAGTAATATTTAGAAACATTGGCAAGGTTTCTCACAAGTCGGATGTTTATAGCTTTGGAATGCTGGTTCTTGAAATGGTGGGAGAAAGAAAGAACCCGAATGAAGGAGTAGTGGGGGAGAGCAGTGAGAGTGTAGAGTACTTTCCTGATTGGATATACAAGGATCTTACACAATGTGAAACAGATGAAGGCTGTAGTTGGGGCAATACAGAGGAAGAAGAGGAAATGGCAAGAAAAATGATAATTGTGGGGTTGCATTGCATTCAGACATTGCCTGATGACAGGCCTTCGATGAGTGATGTGGTAGCGATGCTAGAAGGGAGTATTGATGGCTTACAGATTCCGCCAAAACCAACCTTGTTTGGACCTCCTCCTGCGGCTGCGCTGCCTCGACTTTCTTTTTCTGCTCCTTCTTCTTCTTCATCGACATCGTCTTTATGAAACTGGGATTAGCTTCCCTCTTCTTGCTTGTTCCTTGCTGTTTGGACATATTCCTTTTATGCCTGAACGCCGAGTGTTAGTTTAATACTCCAGAAGAAGCAGCATAACAACAACCAATTACCCCTGCTTGAACACTCCTAGATTTGACATCACTTTTCCTTTCAGTAAACACAATTGACTATTGAAACTTATATGATTTGATGGCAAGCAGGGAAGAATTTTGATTGAATTCAAGGTTGCAGTATTATTGTTTACAATTAACGAGACTTGGTTGACATTTCCTATTCCTTCTGGAGAACTGAGAGAAGGGAAACTATTGCGGGTTACCAGAATTCAAATTCAATTGCAAAAATAACCGAACCACCACAATTGAGATAACTTCATCGGATTATACCTTTTCGATAAATATTCTTCATTATTGATGCTGGATTCCGAATGAGGTGACGTGTTCGCGCGAGCTGGGCTGAGGAGCCTCACCGACCCAAGCTGGTACGTATATACCAGAACCTAACACTAGTGTGGTGGTTGGCCAAATCAACTCTGAAGTTTTAAGACTCAGATCGAAGAGTAGAGGTGACGAGCTAGAAGTTTAGTGAAGAGTTTGTGTACCTTTAGAAAAGGTTTGTTCGTAAGCCTTGATGGTCAGAGTTCATACTCACCAGCAAGAGGATGTTCCGCCAGCAACAAGAATTTCCTATGAGCAGAATTGTCCTTTTGTTGAATGTTGGCGGATATTATACCGAGCAAACTCTGCCCGAGGTGGATACCGAGCCAACCTGCTCTCGACACGAGGTTGCACCAAGTATTGCAACCTGGTCAGAGTTAGTATCTTTGAGATTCTAATGGAGAAATTTTTGTTTGAACAACTTAGCTGGAAACTATTTGAGCGAGAGGGACTACCACTTTAAAGCCATGTGATACAGTGAGTCCCCACTTCCTACCCCATATGACTTATTCATAACACATATCTTCCGTCAAAGCAAGTAATCAATTCATATATCAATTGGTTGCCTAAAGTCGTCGTCTCTCTCTTCTTCATTTTTTTAAAATTTTGCTCTGACCCTTACGTTGTTCAGAAGCTTACAAAGATTAAAGTTGACCCCACATGGAAATGTCTCCTTTATCTCCCTTTTCCATTTCTTTTTTTCTTTCTTTTTTTCTCTTGACCAAGTTAAGTTTTTGCGCCAGTCAACTAACTATGCATCCATTAACTTCCAGGTTTCCTTTCCTTCCCCCTCGACTTTTCTTCGACTCTGTGAGTCTGTTTCTCATTCCCAACAGCCAACACCCTAAACCATTTCAGTGATTCCTATATCATAACTTCTTCTTCTCCCAAATTATTTCAAAACCAGATTTCTGTTCCCTGAAAATGAACTCCAGATTGTTTCCATTTCGTCCTTTACACCTTTCTCTGGCTTTTATGCTCCTCATGCTGCTGAATTCTTCCCCTGCTTCCTCTGCTTTTTATGGAGAATGGTTCTTGAACTGCAATGATCCGTTGAAGTGCGAGAGTATTGGTACGCTGGAATTTCCTCTCTGGAGAAATAACCGAACAGGAACTTGTAGTTATCCTGAGACAATGAAGGTCAATTGCGATGGAAGCCGCGGCACAACCATAGAAATTTTGGGAGCGGAATACGAGCTCCTGAGTTTTAATACCAATGATCAAATTCTTATAATAGGTGAAATCGACTTTTCAGATGGATTTTGTTCGAAAAATATTTCAAGTTACATCTATGGGATCATACCTCTGTACTATTACTGCCAAATCCCAGACAAAAGTACTTGTTCTGTAACTCAATTTAGTTACATGCCATTTCAAAACATAACTGCTATTGCTGATGCATATTGTATGATGAGTGCAATAGTGCTAATTTCGCCAATGTGGTTAAATGAACTTGGTGGTCTGCAAAATGTAGCGCGGCGTATCAGAGAACAGTTTGATTCCGATCTGAAGGTTGATGCTCAAGCATGTAGAAGCTGCAGTGTTTCTGGTGGTATCTTTGGCTATGAGGACTCCATAAACTATAATCCTTTTTTTTTCAGTCAAGCAAAATGCTTCTGCAAATCTTCTTCTAATGGTTTTGAACTCTGTTCTTCCTCACGGGTTGCAGCACCAGCAACATCTCCATCCGGATCCGGTATGTATTCAAACTCTGCCCTCATGACCTGTTTTTGTTTTCCCTTCAAGATTATTGCTGCCATTAGTTCTATCTGGGTTTCATCCTAAGTGATCATTAGTCAACACTATGATCTATTTTCAACCAACAAATTCGTGAAATGAAAACAATTTATGCTACTTCATGTTTTCTTTTACAGGAAAGTCAAAATCGCTCAAGAAAATATTTATCATAGGTACGACAGACTTCTAGCTTTCGCTAAAAGTTCATTACCGACCTTTCCCTCTCTTCATTTCCATTTCACTGCTTTTTTTTTCCTTTAACCATTCACCAAGTTTCAACGTTGCATTATTGCTCTACTGATTGAAACCCCTTCTGCAGTTGCAATTTCTTCAGGAAGCATCATTCTGGTAATCTCCATCATCATCTTCACCTGCTACGCAAGAAAAAGCATCTCAAGCAAGGATGAAATCGACGAGATCATCAAAAGATACTCCATACACACCCCGAAGCGATACAGTTACTCAAAGCTGAAGAAAATTACATGCTCCTTCAAGAACAAGCTTGGACAAGGAGGATTTAGCACTGTCTACAAAGGAAAGTTATCAGATGGTCATGATGTGGCCGTGAAACTTTTGAATGACAAAGAGAACAGCCAAGACTTCATGAACGAAGTTATTAGCATCACCAGAACTTCGCACGTAAACATAGCCACGCTCTTGGGTTTCTGCTACGAGCGCAACAAAAGAGCTCTAATTTATGAGTATATGCCAAAAGGGTCATTAGAAAAGTATATATTTAACAAAAGGTTGCAAAAAAATGAGGTGGTGTTGGATTGGAACACGTTATACAGCATCATAATCGGTGTGGCTCGAGGGTTAGAGTACTTACATCGTGGCTGCAACACAAGGATTTTGCATTTTGACATAAAACCACACAACATTCTTCTGGACAAGAACTTCTGCCCCAAGATCTCAGACTTTGGACTTGCCAAGCAATGCAAGGCCAAAGAGAGTCACGTATCGATGACAGGTGTAAAGGGGACGGCAGGATTCATGGCACCGGAAGTGATATTTAAAAATTATGGGAAGGTTTCCCACAAGGCTGATGTTTATAGCTACGGAATGCTGGTAACTGAAATGGTGGGTGAAAGAAAGAATCGTCGGAATGAAGGAGTGGAGGAGAGCAGTGAAGAGTATTTTCCTGATTGGATATACAATGATCTAAAAGATGGAGGGCTGTGGTGGGGGAACACAGAGGAAGAAGAAGAAATGGCAAGAAAAATAATTATTGTGGGGTTGCATTGTATTCAGACATTGCCAGACGATAGGCCATCGATGAGTGATGTGGTGGCTATGTTGGAAGGGAGTGGTGATGGCTTACAAATTCCGCCCAAACCGACCTTGTTTGGACCTCCTACAACTTCAACTACGCTGCCCCATCCTTCTTCTTCTTTCTCTTATTCTTCATCAACCTCGTCTTTATGACTAATTTATACCAAATACCAATTAGCTTGCTTTCTTCCTTTTTTCTTTTCTATCTTGTAGTCGAATTGGATCCTTTCCCCTGTTTTTCTTTTTTATTCTGTGTTGAATATTTCATTTCCTACAAGTCTTAATTCATGTTGCCTTTGGTGGGAGGAAAGGAAGTCTCCTATTTTGCTGTAGAAAGTAGATTTTTGCAATTGAATTATCGTTTTTCTGATCATGTACACTAAAACTCGTTCTTCAGTCATTGCAATTGGTTCTAGAAGAAACATCACTGTGGAATAATTTCCATTACTACGCAGGATGAACGGGTTTTTACTTTTTACATCTCAATAATCCTTACGAAAGTTGAAGCTTGGAAAGTTCCACGTCGCTGCAGGTCTGGTCTCCCTGGTCAATGACTCAGATTCGAATATTGCTTTTCCTGAGCTAAACAATTGACTGATTCAAATTTACATGGTTTGATTTTGATGGGAGGAATTTTAATCTGTTTAAACAACTTACTTAGCTGGAGTGGTTGAGCGAGAGGGATTGCCATTGATCCATTTTATATCATTCCGTTGACCGAATCATTACACAGAAGCTCTGACTTCTATTTTGTTAATGTATCACTGTCGGCAAAGAATAGAAAATTGTTAGCTGATCATGTCTGTCTGCTAGCTCCTGAAAATGATCAGTGACTTGTTGTTCATCTCCTTGATGGCGTTTAATTTTTTGCCATGTTTCAGCGAAGACGCCCTCGATGAATTTAAAGCTTGCAGTGTGAGTTACAATTGCGGAGAATTGGTTAACATCACGTATCCATTTTGGGGAAATGAGAGGCCGGAATTGTGCGGGCGGCGAGAATTGGAGCTCAAATGCAAAAACAAGCGAACCACCACTATTGAAATCAATTCTGTGGAGTATAACGTTCTGGAAATAGAGCAGTCGTATAATGGAATGAGGATCGCAAGATCAGACGTGTCCGAGAGTGTATGCCCCAAAAATCAGATGAAAACTGGGAGTGGGATTCCGGAATTGGGATATCCGTTCGAAAATTTTTGGAACAGTGGGAATAATATCTCCCTGTGGTACAATTGCTCGGTGCAAAAGGGAATTTCGGAGAGTTACAGATTCTGGTGTGGGGGGGAAAAGGAGGGGAGAGTGAATTATGGGTTTGGACCAATGGATGCGAATTTGACACTAAATTTGGAAGGCCAAGTGTGTGAAATGAACATCAATGTTACGGCGGATAGCTTGACAGGGGAAGGTGGAAATAACAGGACGGCGGTGCTGGAGAACTCCGTGAGACAAGGGTTCTTTGTGAGTTACTTCCAGGAGAAGAAGTGGTATACGATTGCCTGCGAAGTATGCAATGACGACGGCGGAATTTGCGGAGGAAACGCGACGTACGCATTTTACTGCACTTGTGCAGGCGGAGATGCACATCCCTACCGCTGCTTACCTACTACTCCTCCTCCTCCTTCTCCTCCTCCTTCAAGTACGTCTCATTCTCCTTCTTCCATTGCATCAAATACCATTATTCATTACCTTTTCCATTGAATCTCAATCTAAACTACTCACACCCAAATACTGTCTCTTCATGTTGACCTCATTCTGATTTTGTGTTGTTAAGGAATCAATAACACTGATATATATAACTAGGTTTAAATATTGCATATATTTTAGCTACACATCACAAATCCATCCATGAAATCTCAAATCTATTCCTTCACAGCAACAAAACCAAATGCTTCATGTTTTCTTTTGCAGGAACGTCTTCCAGTTTGTCGAAGAAAAAATCATTAATCATAGGTACTACATGCTTCTTCCATCTTTTGCTAAAATTTCAGAACCGACCTTCCTCTCTCTTCATTTTCCTTTTACTACTGCTACTTATTTGATCCATTCAATCACCACATTTCTGCATAGCGTTATTGTTTTGCTGTGATCATGTAAATTGAAACCCTTAATTTCTTCAGTTGCAATTGCTACTGGATGCGTCATTTTGATGATCTCCATCATCATCTTCATCTACCACACATCTCAAACATCAAACAGAGACAACATTGAAGAAATTATAAAGACATATTCCACACGAACACCCAAGCGGTACAGTTACTCACAGCTAAAGAAAATCACAGACTCCTTCAACAACCAGCTTGGCCAGGGAGGATTTAGCACCGTCTACAAAGGAACTTTACCGGATGGACGCCAAGCGGCGGTGAAACTTTTGAACGAATCCAGAGATCAAACTGGTCAAGATTTTATGAATGAAGTTGTTAGCATCACCAGAACTTCGCATGTGAACGTAGTCACTCTCTTGGGTTTCTGCTACGAGCGCGACAAAAGAGCTCTGATTTATGAGTATATGCCAAAAGGGTCATTAGATAAGTACATATTTAACAAAGGGTTGCAGGAAAAAGATGTTGCGGTGTTGCACTGGAACACGCTTTATAGCATCATTATGGGGGTGGCTCGAGGGTTAGACTACTTGCATCGCGGCTGCAGCACAAGGATCGTGCATTTTGACATAAAACCACACAACATTCTTCTGGACGATGAGTTCTGCCCCAAGATCTCAGACTTTGGGCTTGCCAAGCAATGCAGGGCTACAGAGAGTTACGTGTCGGTGACGGGCATGAAGGGGACGGCAGGATTCATGGCGCCGGAAGTAATGTTTAGAAATGTTGGGAAGGTCTCCCACAAGTCTGATGTTTATAGTTATGGGATGTTGGTTCTTCAGATGGTGGGTGAAAGAAAGAGCCAAAATGAAGAGCAGTTTCCTGATTGGATATACAAGGATCTTGCAGAGAGTGAGAAAGATGGAGGGCGTGGCCTACGGTGGGGCAACACCGAGGAAGAAGAAGAAAAAGCAAGAAAATTGATTGGTGTGGGTCTGTGTTGCATTCAGTCGTTGCCGGAGGAGAGGCCGTCGATGAGTGATGTGGTGGCGATGTTGGAAGGCAGTGTTGATGGCTTACACATTCCACCAAAATCGGCCTTGTTTGGACCTCCAGCGGCTCAGACGTCAACGACCATTCTCACTGATTGCCCTTTTAACTGATTCAGTACTTGCACGTTGCAATTGCTTCAAGGAAGAAGCCTTTATTTCTACGGTGCTCTTTAGAAATCACTGCAATGACTGCCCTAATTTCTAAACACCATAGCTGCTAAGCCTCACAAGAATCGTGAGAACTGGTTGCCGATGATGCTCTATAAATCTTATTTGTCATTCTTCCTTTCTCTCTGCAAATGTTGGCGTTCACCTAAAAAAATATAGGTTTGCGCAAAACCTAAAACTCTAATATACCATTTGTTAGGGATAAGAAACCAACCACGCATCCACGTCTAAACTCTCGTGGTTTTGCACTTGGTATCATCCAAGAGGCCTCAGTTTTTGGGCTTAACAGTAACAGTCTTTTTCAAAGGCCTATTATGAAATATACCCCCTCCCCATTTTTATGTTTTGTAAACATTTGGTGACTATCACTGTTCATTTCAAATTACTATCCTACCCCTACGTAACATCTAGCCTTTTTTGGATACTTAAAAGATCCGACCTTTTATGTGCAAATGGTTGGTTGACGTCCAATTCCTTTTATCCCAATTCCAAACAACAAGAATTCTTAAATTTCTTATACATAGTTTCCAGCGTGAAAAAAGGTTTAATGTTGCTCCATTCCTAACCCCAACCTAAAACTATCATAAATCCAAAGGTATTATTATTGCATCATTATTTAATTTTATTTTCCTATGAACCTCTAGCAATTTTAATTTCATAACAATCAGCTATTAAAATTTAATCTTTTTAACCTCAAATCAAAATCATGATATTAGCACAAAGAAGAGAGAAAGAAAAGGATAAACAATGATATAATAGAAAAAATTAAATATTGCAATTTAACCCTTCATGGAATTACAGAGTATAAAAGATGGCGGTTGGTGGAAGAACAGAGTATCAAAAAATGGTGGTTGCTTTGAGTAATTGTACATCCAACTGTATTATTTATGACTAGTGACTGAGTACAAGTAAAATCTTATCCAAAATTGGACCATAAGACAGCTAATTCAGTAACTGATGATAGGCTTGCTTTTCTTAAAAACAAGTAAATGATAAAGGAAATAGTGCAAGTAAATAATTTAGCTTCCAAATAAAGCAACTCCCTAGCTCGAACGCCAATGAGAGAAGGATTCCGCTTAACTCCAAAAATATAGCCGTTGGAGGATGACCGCAAATCAAACAAAATAGAGCCGTTGGAAGTTGGAAGAAGGTGAAAAGAAGAGAAGCTGGTAACTAAGAGTAAAGAGTCTGCACAAATTGGTTTTAATTTACATTAATGTTACGCATATATTTTGATTTGAAATCCCGGCCGTTTCTCTGCAATATCCTATCGCGGTTATATATAGGAGATAAAAAGCAAGCGGAGAGTAAAAGGAGGCGCAGCAGTTTATGGTGGTTGTTGGTGCCACTAATACAAAGCTCTGCTGCATGACAGATACATAACTAATTAGAGGAAATAATATTATATATACGAGAGAGATCGTGGAGGGAGGGAGAGAAAGAGAAGAATTTGGCATTGCTTAAATTCGAAAATAAACACAAACGAAATTAAAATAAAAATGCGAGGACAGAAGAGTAGTAGTCCATAAATGGAGTGCGGAAATTGGTTGGCAATTTTATTTCCAAAATCCTTTGAAAGATTTAAGAAGCAGCTACCCATAATTACAGTGAAAATTGCCCTCAATATTATACTGATCCGAAGAATTGGAATCCCAATCTCGGCATTCAAGTAATTGCCCACTTATCAACTCGTAGCTACTTTCAAACGCTGATTTCTCCATTACATAATCACTTTCTTCATTCCCATATCCCTCGTTTCCTATATCAATCCAACACAACATACATAATATATCATTCATTCATTAATCCCTTTCAAATCAATAAAAATATTATAAACCAAATTTAGCCTAGCTATATACCTTGTTTTAGCAACAAGATCTCCCTGGAATTCGGTTCGAAATCTTGTAGCGCGTGCCAGTTGTCGTATGCTTCTCTCCTCAAACTCTTTATGTATTCCTATATGATATTATTATGTAAAAATGGAATATTATTAGTTGATGTAAGAAGAGAAAAAATGGTGCTAATAATGAATTAATTGATGAAAAAAATGGGGACCTCGGGAATATTGTGGAGGTCTCGAGATGAATAAACTTGTCCCCCCAGCACAGCTCGAACCACTCCACAAATGGCGTTCAAGAAAACTATGGAACTTGGTCCGCGAAACATGTACAGCTTGTTTCCCAATTCGCATGTCTTTGCATGTTTCACAGTTGCTTCCCACATCCTCTCCGACATTCCCACTCCCAAAATCTACACAACAAATTAAAAACCAATTAGCTTAGCTTGTTAATTAAAATTATAATGAGAGATATAAAAGAAGAGTGTATTAATTAAATTACCCACCGTTCTTAGCTTTTGTGGGTCGATCGTATAGAGCTTTAAGAAGGCTTGGACTGTCTTGATGTTGTGATTGCTTAGCTTTCTGTGGAACACTCCTTCTTTGCCAATCTTTTCTAGTCTCCATACTTCGTCGTTCAACATTGGTGGATAATGCTTTTTGTACACTTCAATCATCCAAAACCAAAATATCAAACAAATATGCAAATGAAGAGAAAACAGAGCATGCGTCCTATTTTGTTTTTTAAAACATATCTTTAAATCTATCATATTTATTTAACTCTCTTTTTCTTTTAACCACCATAACTTTAACTTTTAAATTTTATGTTAAAATATTGTCTGGGTACATGCATTTTTAGAATTACTTCTTTTAGTTTCCGTAATTTAAAAATTTTCATTTTAGTTATTGTACTTTAAAAAAATGATCATTTTAGTCTCTATTTGCAAAATTTTAACACAAATTTTACGCATAATGAAAACTATAATGTTTATATTTTAAGAATATATTGATTTTAGTATTGCGTTGAAATTGTGATAGAAAAAAATGAGATTAAGAATAAAATTAAGGCGCTTTTTAAAAATATAGGGACCAAGATGAACATTCTGAAAATACAGGATTAAAATGAACTAAAATTGAAAACACATGAACAAAATGAACCAAAATTGAAAGTACGGGTATAAACTAATATTTTAACCTGAATTTTATTCTAATATATAATAGTAATGGAAAATACTTTAATAAGTATACCATTAAGTTATTAAGTTTTTGACCGATTGGAAAAAAATAGAAATTTATCAAATAGAATTGAGTAAATATGTATGTATAAAAATATTATTATATTTTACTTTTTTATTAAAAAAGTTACAAAGGTGACTTTTAATTGACCTCATGCTTGTAATTAATATCATTTTTGTAAAATTTTAAACTCTATATATATATATATATATATATATATAATATTTTTTTTTGGGTACTACTTTTCTAACTCTCTATAAAAATGGAGAGAGGAAGTGATTTTTTCTCTTTTTCTTTCTTTAAATATATAGTGGTAAAAATTTTAGTGGTGGACAGACCCTACGTGGGAAACATTATTCTAATATTAAAAAGAAAATCTTTTTTTTTTTGGGGCATATGAGGCGGCTGTGTATGTTGAAGGTTGAATGGAAAAGGCCGAAATGGGTTTGTTGAATTTTGAAAGCGATGTTTGGTTTGAGAAATAACATTTCTAATTTTGTTTTAGGAAAAACCCTTCATTTTCTTATTGGCTTAAAAAACGAATATAGCTTCCTACCAAACGGGCAGATACCATAAAAATAGAATAAAATAAAAATAACTAATTTAATTATCTAAAAAAACATTAGAATACTCACATTCTCCACGGTGATCTTTGACCACAAATGGGTCGGTTATAGCCTCTCGGATCCGTATGCCCTTATCGCGGTCCGACCCGGAAACAATTCGGACTCCGAGCCTAAATTTCCTGCTCCGCATCCAGCTAGAGTTATCCGTGAACTCAATTTCTCCGATGGTTGCAGCGCCGTGGCGGAGGGTTATATTCATGTCGCCGTGAAGCAGCGGCCTCTTTCCAGACCTCTCCTTCACAATGCTAGCATTGAATTCCTCCGGCGTCCAGTATTCTCTATCACCGGCCGGAAAATCGCCGTCCAGAACCACAATTTCTATTTTGACCGACTGCCACATCGGCGACGCCGGATCTCCTCCGGCGTCCTCGAGCACGAGCCGAAGCGGCTGCCCTTCAACATCCGTAATTTTGCTTCCGGTAAAAATTTTAGAAGGCAATTTATTCAGGAAAACCAGCTGATAACTGGACGGCTCCAGAGCCTGAATCCTCAACGACGAAGCCCTCGTCAATGGCCGTGTATAACGATTTAAACATCTTTCAACTTCTTCATTCACCTGCACATGTCCGCCCAAAAATTACGCACAATCAAAACAAAAGCCCTAAATTAATTTTACAGAACTCCATTTATATATATAAATTTAGAAATACCACTCGTCTGAGCAACGGTTCCAATGCCTTTGACAAATTCCTGAGCGAATTCACCATCACAACTTCTCCGATTACCCTGCCAAAATTAGACACATAATTATTTTAACCAAATGAACAACAATCGGAGAAGAACTTATGAGAAAGCTCCATTGTGATACACATACGAAGCAAAAGTTTGGCGTGGACGCTTCTCAGGAGGCTGATCCGAGCACGACTCTGTTTCACAGAACAATCTCTTGGCCGCCATTTCTAAATTCTTTTAATAATCCAGAGAGGGCAATTTAGTTCAGCCATGGATCAGTATCCTTCAATTTATATAGTGCCGCCTACTTTAAAAAAGAAACGAATAAAAAAAAAGATTGAAGGAGACATGTTGTTGGGAAGTCCGCAATCCATGTGAAAGAGCAGATACGGAATTAAATTAATAAAATATTGAAGTAGTAATTTCTGAGAAAGTTCAAGGAAATTGCAATGGGGTTTCAAATGGAAGAAAGTTATATTTAATTTGGATGACTTGGCGTCAACTCCCGAAAGTCGACTCTCTCTCTCATCCAAGTCTTTGATAAAAAGCTTTGATTTTTGGTACAATAAACTATTTTCATTCTACCTTTGAATATTATAACTGCTACTCGATTCCATCCAATTCCTAAAGTTGATTCAATATTTTTTTATGACCTACTGATCTACTTAATCCGGTTTGTGTGTAAAGTTTGAAATGGAAGAAATTTCTAGGAACTTTCTTTGATTGAGGCAACAGTTACAAGAATCATTATGGGTTGAATATCTAGTCCTTTTCCCCTTTTTCTGATTATGGTTGTATACCTGTTTAACAAATAATTCCTAACTTAATTATAATATGCAAAGCATAATTTTTTAATAAATATTTTATTCCAGCGTGGTTTATAAAGTTTCATGCGTATCTTTTCTTTTCTAGGTATGTTGAATTCTACTTATAAGATCAACTCCTCTGTCTGGAAAAAAAAAAAAAAAACTTACGAATGTCAACTAATTTTATTGAACAATTTTTTTTTACCACAACACAACAAGTGAGGTGAGAGATCAAACTCATAACCAACATATTTGTCAATTATAACTGAGTTATGTTCGCTTTAACTATCATACAAAATTTGACTGACAATAAATTTGTATTACTAATATAGTCTAATAACATTTTGCGGTTTCTTTTTGCATGTCATCACCTTGATTTATTAGACCTTCTCCTCCGAGAAAAAATAGACTCCTCCGCTCGTATATACTTCTGCATAAACAACTATTTTTACCTATGTATTTCTTTATTGTATTATCTACTTCTTAAAATAATTTCTAAAAAAAATACATATACTTTTATTTTTTGAAATTCGACTAATAATTAAAATATATTTTTTAGAAAGTTAAAAAATATTATAAGAAAATAAACATATAACTTTTTTTAACAAAATCGCTATGAATGAATCTAAAAATTTGTAAATTGTCTGTTTTAGGGTATTTTGAATAAAATATATTTTAATCTTTTTTTCAATCTAAAATTTTTTTCTACAAATAATCGACATATGTTTTTAACCAATATTACAAGTTTTAATCTCCCACTCCCAATAATCCTACTAAAAAAATCGGTATTTTTCCACTCTGAGTGATAAAATAAGTATTGTCTTTGAGATATAAAAGGAATGGTTGCTGGGAAAATTTTCAATTTTATTGATTTTCCATTCAGTTGTCTGCCGTGCCAAGTTCTGTAATATAAAATTGATGGGTATTTTTTAAAAAATATTTATTCTGTGCACAATTTTTAACAAAATTTATTTATTTTTTTTTTTTTGACGTGGAAAAAATATTTAAAAATTTTATACTCAGTCTTTCTCCCCCATCCGTCTCTCCGAAATATGAAATAGAATTCACATCAAGAACAAGAACAAGAATGATCACGATTCACCAATACTTCCTCATTCTCATTTGGTGATCAAAGAGCCACTATGGTAAACAGAATTACCAAATATTAGTTACAAAACAACCAACCGTACTCCAACTAATTACAACGCAAAACACACTTAGTTTAACATTAACTCTGCCCATCTATTAATCATACTTAATGAGCTACCTTAATACTCCGCCGCTCTCAGATCCCCGTCGGCGGCCACCGTACTTGAAGAACGCGTGAACCGGAGCTGAACCACGAACGACTAGACTAGATCAGGTGGATGAACCAGATTTCATAACTTTTGATCTGACACCGCACCACGAACGCACCAGATCTGAAGTTTTGCACGCACGATCTGATCGAAGAAATGAAAAAAAAAAAAAAATACAGATCTGAGTGCTTGCGTTCGTATTTGAGAGAGAGACTATCGGGAAGAAGCAGATCTGCACACTCTATCTCCGGCGAGGCTTTGGCGGAGGCGGAAGAGGTTCGTTCCTCTGGGAGACAGAGAGGGAGAGAATGAGAGAGACAAGAGAGTGAAAAAAGATTTAAATACATTTTTCCAAAAAAGAAAAAATAAATACTTAAGGGCAGGAGGAACCCGTGCTGTCTGGACACGTGGCACAAGAAATTGACAGTATTTTATTTAGTAATTCTTGTTACTTTCTAACCAGATAGCTGGCACAATAAGAAGTTGAGCTTCCATTTTCTATATGGATTAACATTTAAAAAAAATTATAACGACTAAAATGTAATTTAATATAATTAAAAAAATGAGAAATTCAAAATTAGAATAAAGAAATTAGAAAATAATTTTAGACATAATTAAAAATAACTATCATAAAAATAATACAGATTTACCAAAAGAAAAAAAATAGATGTCCCAACCTTAGGTGTAAAAAAGGAATATGTGTAAATAATCCTAACCTTATGTGTCAATTTCTTCTATTTGCTCAATGTCCTTCAAGTGTGTGTCAAGTTGATCCATATCTATGTGCTTAATTCTCAATGTCCCTTGTGTCTATTTTCTACCAATTATTAGTGTCTAATTGTAACACTTATGTTATACAAATTGCCTATAAGTAGTGGCAATTTATAGTTCATTCGTGAGTGAAAAGTTTAGTGGATTTTGGTGGAAAATCTATATTGAATTTCTAAAGGAAATTTATGTTTCATTTTCTAAATTTATCTTTTCTATTTTCAATTTTAATTTCTAATTTTAGTTTTATATTTTATCAAATCTCATATTTTTTAATTATTCGTGATTCGTACTGGCTCATTTTACTTCATAGTTTTACAACAAAAACAACTATTTTAATGAGTTTAAAAGTCCAGGAAAGAATTAAGAAAAATGATTTACTCCGTCGGGTTTGTCTCGTTCGCCGTCCGGGACGACATTAAGAATCCTGTCGGCATTTAGACATTTGAGAGGCATAAAAAAGTTGAGCCGGACCTACACGTCGTAAGAAAGATTACGTCAGCGGATATACTACAAAATTTCCCGTACATTTGGAGCCTGCCACTGCCAGACAAAGTAAAGTGTGGGGTCCAATGCGGCTTCCGTATTTCCACACGCTGTTAGATGGACTGGATCAAATCAAGTTAAATCTTCCGAACCGTTTCATACGCGTTCAAACCGGACCGGCCACACAGCACTTTTTATTCTTTTCAAAAATAGTGTATATATTTAAAAATAAAAATAAAATCTTATATAGCCAACGTAATTATTTCTTTTCTAAACTTTTAAATTTAATTACTGAGAGTTTCGTAATAATTTCATTCTAATTCTCAATATTCTTTTTTATAAAAACTAAGTGTACTTCGCGGTATTAATCTATTGCTTTATGTATTGGAAATATATGAACATGGTTAATGAGTATAAATATTTAAATGAATTGAAAATAGAATGTGAACTTTGGGCCTCTTTTTTTTAATCTGAAATGAATCCTACCCTACAAAAAAAAACAGAAATTATTGAAAACATATACATATAGGGAATGAAGCTACGTAAAGACTAGTGTTAATAACTTAGAAAGAAATTGATCTACATTACCAAGTCAATGAAAAAGTCAAGTCAGGCAAAGAACATGACTGGAGGGGCAAGTTCCAGCAGCCGATCCAAAGCAGTTTCCAAGAACTTCCTCGCAAACAGATGGCAAATTCTACTTTTATTTCCATTGTAATCGCACGTGCTTCCGCTCCGGATCCTTTCCAAAAGCCCCACCGTGACGTTGCCGCTCTCGAACCCGGCCGGATGAGGGCCCTGTTTCGACCAGTCGGCCCAAGTCAGCGTCCGGTTCGAGTTCCTCCCCCCGAACCGGATGCTCGTTACCGTCGCCAAGTAGTGCTCGTCCGATATGCAGTTGGGGCGGCAGTGCTTTTCGAAGAGTGGGAAGTACTTCTGGTCCGCCACCACCTCCGTCGCCGTCCCTCGGTCCATTTCGAACCACTGGGACCCTTTCCGCCACTGGGCCTCTGTGATTGTGGGCTTCATGTTGGGCCTGTAGCGTCGGCGGCCCAACCGGCCTGGTAAGTCGAAGGACTCGACGAAGATTTGGGCCGAGCCCACAAGGTAGTTGTAGACTGTGGTGAAATTGAAGACGGGGATGCAGGTCTCGGAGAGGAGGACGAACCGTTGGTTGGAGAAGTCGAGCAGCGCGTTCGCCAACAGCCGCCGCTCCGCTTGCATCATGCTCGGCTGCCCCCATTCCACCTCCTGTCATTTTTTTTTAATTCTTTCCATTAACATCTAAATTAATCTTTGTTTATTTAAATAATTTACAAAATATAGGATTAAAAGATGTGTAGTAGCCAGAGAAGGAAATAAGTAAGAAGATTAAGAACATCTATCTACAAAAATTTTCAATCTAAATGAGTCATATGATGACTAAGGAGGAAATTTATAAACTTTGGGACTAAAATACAAATGAAATTAGATTTTAGGTGCTAAAACTATATTTTAATATATATTTTGAAGATTAAGATCATGTATTGAAGGTTGCTTTTTTTAATATATATATATATACATATTTGAAAAAATTTAGTATGGGAATAGGAAACTACCCAACAAAAAATTTCAATCAAAATAATACCAACGGTATTAATTTATTTTTTCTTTAAAGAATTGAATTCAGTTTATATTTAATTAAATTTTTGTTATAAGTACTCCAGCAGAAATGGAGGCATGGTTTGTGGCAGATCTTGTAATTAATCCACCTTAAAAGCATTATATTGGAAAAACTGAATTACATGTTTTTTTTTAAATGGTTTAACCATTCGAACTTATGAATTCTCCCTCAATTATAGTTGAACTAACCTCGACGAATTACACGTTACATCATAATGTTTTTATTTTTCTACGAATTATACTGCTACACTATTCATAAGAGTGATTTAAAACTTTCTTGATTTTAATTTGTAAAACTTTTGATGCCAACCCATATCCAAAATAATATATATCTTTCCATATCCAAAAAAATTTCTTAAAAATGACGGAAGTTTTGACAGTAAGTAAACTGACCTTACTAGGAATTGTACGGCCATAAAAGACGGAAGTTGTGGGGTGAGTTCCATTGAAGGAAGGATCAGAATGGACATAAATGGAGTACAATCCCTGATTTCCATGGAAGAATCGCTCCCAAAGAGGAGCCAACGGCAGCGGCCCTCTGCTCAGAAACATAAACGCCACCTTCGCCGTCGTCTTCACCGGAAATTTTGTGATCCGGGGAACCACCGAAGCCCTCCACAGCAACTCCTGGTCGCTCATCTCGTGGGCCACGCGCTCCGGGCTCCAAAATTCCCTCAACCCCATCACCGGCGCCGGCGGAGGAGCTGGTGGCGACAGCTGGATGTTGAGCTGGAAGGCGGAGGAGAAACGCGTGACGTAAAAATTAAAGGTGATCCCTAGGGCTAAGCCTATGCCGAAGACGAGAAAGTGAGATACAACAGTGGTGAGGTGGAGTTGAACGGCGTGGAAGAGCTTCGCCGTGGACTCCGCCATATGCGGCTGCTGCTTAATTAATTAAGCCTGAGCGTGGACAAAGGCAAATATCATTTTATTCATAGTCTTGGATATTAATTTTTCTGTAGTTGGGTTATAATCTCACACTTTTAATGGGGGAGGCCGAAGAGAAGAAAAAGAAGGTTGCTGACCACTAACTAGCTCTAAGCTTGTATAATTTGGTACATGTTTATTCAATAAAACAACATATATATTATTATTTATTTTATTGTCGAATATTAACTACAACTACAACCCAAATGATAATAATAGCGCTATTAATTAATTGATCCATCATGATTTTTGGTATACATATTCGAGGCTACTACCTAGCACGTACTCGAAGAAAATCTTAAAGGTGTCCATGATATCTTAACTTTTGTCTTAGGAAGATATGTTGAATTTTAAGGATAAATATGGATGAGTTATGCTAGGGCTGAAATAACGCTCAAACCTATCAGCAAACCATAGAAAAATCTAATAAATCGGAATAAGTCATCTAAGGCTCTTGGACACGACACATGAAGTTTGTAGGTAGGGTCGTCATACACCATAGATGCCCCAAGCAGTCAAGCTGACCCTATGGGTCGAGTCCCTTAGACCCTCATCTATGAGACAAGTCCACTCGGTTAACCTCGTTCTCTTGATTTTTTTTAAGGCCTATCGAACCCTCGAGTCTAGTTCCTCAAATTTTAGAGAATAGAAAAGGAAAGATATATTAGTTTTTCTTCTCTATTAATAGAAAGAAAGTCACGTAATCAGTATGTTGGACTAGCACCAAATCAGYATGTATTCCTTTTTGTCTTTTGCAAATTTCGTCAAAATTTGTTAATTAAGAAGAGCATTGCGAATTCTGTAATTCTACAATCAAATATTTTTTTTTAATTTTAATGACATAAATTCCATTTGGTTGAAAATAAAAATGATATAACTTGCTTCATTCATAACTAGTTAGAAAATTTGAAAGATTTTTATTGGAACGAGACCTTCTCGGAGTTAAAAAATCATGTATAAAAACAAATTATAATTTAAAACAATTTGGACAAAATATCAAACATTAGCTTAATTAGCTCGGTGTAAATAGCACCTATCTTTGATTAAGATATCATGAGTTTAAATTCGTCCCCTGTATATATACCCTATGTATATATATAGTTTATTATATATATATATATATATATAATTTTAAATGAAATATGTCTTTAACCGATTTCAATTTAAGTAAGAGTTCTAGTTCCCAATATACATATAGTTTTAAATGAAATATGTCTTTAACCAGTTTTCAACTTAGGAAAGAATTCTAGTTCCCAAAAGGATTTCTACCTTAAATTACACAAATTTACTAATCACAAACCTATAAATAAAAATCAACAATACCCTACACGAATTTAAAATTTTTGTATCTCTCATTATTCTTCATCTGTATAATTCAAATACATATTACATTAATCTAAATTTTGTATATATAAGTAAAAAGTTTAAAAAATCCGAATTTATTAAATGGTATATTAATTATTTGTGATTTAAAGCAGACCTTGCAACAGAGAGGTCCAAATCTTGAGCAGAGGCTGGAGAGAATCCGGCATAAACTTCCGGGCGAACAGAAAGCAGAGAGAAACGGTGTCGTTCGCATCATTATAAGTACAGTTAAAACCAAACCGGATCCGGTTCAACAACTCGACCGAAACCTGGCGCCTCCCGAATCTGCCGGGATGCGGGCCATTCTTGGACCAATCTACCCAGGTAATGCTCCGGTTCGAACTCCGGTCCGGCGAAACAATATTGAGGAGCGTGGGAATGTAGTGCTCGTCCGTGTAACACGGCGGCGCGCAGTGGTCCCGGAAAACTGGGTAATAGGTTCTGTCGGAGGCGATGTCCAGCGCCGCCGCCCGGTCGGCCTCGAACCACTGGGAGCCCTTCCGCCAGTCGGCGAGGGTGACGGCCGGGAACATACGGCGGTTGTAACGGCCGCGGCCGATTTTTCTGGGATCGTCGTAGGAAGAGACGAAGGAGTATTCGGAGTTGATGAGGTAATTGTAGATGGTGGTGAAATTGTAGAGAGGGATGCAGCTTTCGGAGAGTAAAACGAATCTTTGGTTGGAGAAATCGAGAAGGGCGTTTGCCAGAAGGCGGCGCTCCGCGTGGATCATCGACGGCCTTCCCCATTCCACTGCCTGAAAATCGCCGTACACATTTCAAGTCACTTCTACATTTTTTGTTTTTAAGTTTAACTTAAAATTTTGAATTTATATATATTTTATTTTTTAAAAGTTTTGACTCTTAAATTGTGGTTAAATTATAAACTTACCCTAGGGTTTTAACAATTTAATCCAACTAATTTTTTTTTTTGTGAGAAATATATTCTTATGTTTTTGGCTAAGTTTCTATTTGATTTTATTGTTTTAAAATTTTAATTTAATCCTGTATAATTGGATGTTAATTTTAATTTGATTTCTATAGTTTTAAGATTTTTAATTTGATCGGTATAGTTTGGGCAAACCTCGTAAATCATCTCTAAACTATTTTTACCTACATGAAATTCTATCTATTTTTCTCTGTCGTTATTCAGCATGAAACCATATTATTGTTCGAATATAGAAAATCTCATGTATTTGAGACAATAAGGACGATTTACAATAAGGATTGTTATAATTTGTGAGATTTGATCGAACTATAAAAATTAAATTAAAACTTTTAAAATTAAATGATAGAGTCTAAATTTGTAGTTTCAAATCAGGAATTTAATGACTAAATTTATAATTTAACTTTAATCTCTTTTAATTCATTAATTTAGTTTTTAGGAGAATAAAAACATAATAGAATGTTATTTTGCTTAGGTTAATAAACGGTCTCCACATTTATTTGTTGTATTAAAAAAAGGGTACGGGAGCTCACCTGGCTTGGGATCCGTCTTCCGTGGAAGACAGAGCTCAGAGGCAGCGAAGAAGAAACATTATAGGAGGGATGAGTGTGAACATAAATGGAAAACAGCGGTTGATGGCCTTTGAAGAACATCTCCCACAGAGGAGCCAGAGGCAACGCCCCCTTCACCAAAAACATGAATGCAACTTTTGGCACACGTTCATATGGGAACTCTTTGATCAGCGGAACCATGGAAGCTCTCCAGAACACTTCATCATCATTCATTGTGTGCATCAGAGGTGGCTCTACATTCGGGTCGATAAAGCAATTTGTTTTGCAGTCAACCGGCGGCGGCGGCGGTTGAAGTTGAAGTGGTGGAGGTGGCGGTTGTGTGAGGAGGGAGAAGTTACGGAGGTGGAAAGTGAATGATGAGAAGCTCTTGATGTTCAGACTGATGGCGATTCCGAAGGAGAAGCCAATGAGTAAGAAGAGAAAATGGAAGATTTGGGACAAGTGAGATGATGGGGAATTGGGGATCACAGAAATATGCTTTTTGTTCTGCTCATTGCCCATTTTCATTTGGCCTCTTCTCAAAGCTTACAGAAGAGGAGGAAGAAGAAGATGATGAGAGAAGAGAGATCAGTTGGGAGGTTTAATTTCTTGATTATGGAACAAGTTACAGAGCAAAACTTGAACCGAAAGTTAGTGACTTATCATGTGACCCTCTCAGCAAAAGTCTTCTTTCTTGGCTTTGTCTTAAACAGGGCCATGCATAAAAGGACAAACTTTGTAAAATATTAGGTTGAGTAGTTATCTTCGTGAATCACCTATCAAATTTTGACAATTAAGAAAAAGAAAGGGAGAAAAATATGATTAAAATATATATATATATATATTTTTCACAGCTTTGAAATTTTTATTTGTGATTAGTGCATAAATATGAGTGCAGACATACCATAGAAAGAGCACACCGAGAGAAATGAGATAAGGACGATGCTATTATGGCCTAAAACAATGTGGCCAATACTATTAGATATACAAGAGAGAAATTAAAAACGATAATTTGATCATGCATCTAACGGTTAAAAGGAAAGTAGTCATATCATCATACATCTAACGGTTAAAAGGAAAGTAGTCATATCGAATATAAAATTCATTGAAAAAATGTTCACTTTTTGTGTCAAAGGAAAAAACTTGCCTATTTTTGTATTGATCTACTTGTAAGTTATATTGCATTTTATGTTCCAGGTGCAATTCGCACATAGTTTGACTTTTTAACAAAACTTTCATGGTCTACTAAAATATTGTTTTTATGAGGGAAAAATCACAAAATTATATGCTCATCTTTTGATGATACATTTAAAAATATGGGTATCACCTCGATGGTAAAACCTTAGAAATATGAACTGGCTAAAATCAAGCAATTAGATCCATCATTAAGCAGCAAGTTGTGTATTTATAACATATGATTAGTGAGTATTGAATGGGATTAATTTTAACTCTCTAAAGTCTTCCTTCCCATTTCCAAGTGGTTTACTTTGACCCTTCATTCACGCTCTTCCATCATTTTAAGGATTCACCACGTTCTTCCTTTTGTTTTTCCTTAGTTGCTCTCAACTTAGGAAACAAATTACTTATCTCTTTCCTAGTACTTGATGCAAAACCTGACAACTCAGACATGATTTGTTTTTAGTATAAATGCCTTTGTTTGGAAGGAGTGATGTTTTGCTTCGAAGATTAATGAAGCTCAAATCTCTCCAGCCATGGCTGTCCGCTTGTCATCAACTAAAACAGCTCAAAGTTTAACATGATGCACTGTGTTAAATTTGAAACCACCACTCCATAATATATACACAAATTAACAAAAATGTTTCATATTAATACCAGAAACCAGATGATCTCAAATTTGAAACTCTGTTTCTGAAATGGACCTCCATTCTGTAACAAAATGAATCTAAAAGCACCCCAGACATTGACCAAAAAATCAACAAATTTTTACAGCAGAACTAACCATGGCACTTCAGAATTGGGAAATCAAACCAGTCATTGATGCCGGGACTTTATGCGGAGAATCTGATTCGGGTTTTTAGAGCTATAGAAGGAAATCGGGTATAACCGTCTGTGAAGCCACAGGTAATGGAGCATCCCCACTTTGTTTAGCTTTATGCCTACCGTGCCGCTGACTACTCGTTCGCTTGCCTTTCTTATGAACTTGATCCTTTTTCTCACTACTCTTTTCTAGACTTGATTGTTTGCCATCTTTTGCATGATGTCGATGTGTTCTTCTTGAACTTGTATCTATCTTATTGAATTGCTCTTCAAGATCACCCAGATTTTCTTTTGACTCAGAAGGATCATCAGCATTTTGTTTCTCCTTTCCTTTTCTCCTGCTAGAGGGCTTGGAAGATTGGTTTGTTTGTGAGGAAGTAGGCCTCGCATTGCTGCCTACAAGAACGTCACGTACTGCATCAGAAAGCAAATCATCCTTCGACTGGGGCTTCTTCCTCGTAATGGGCAATTCATCTCCTTCATCCAACCTCACCACCACAGGCCTAGGCTTAGCTGAATTAGACTTTTTCTTTAATGCCAGTGACCGTTCTGCAAGCTTGACAAGATGGGCAGCATCATCATCCAGATTATCGTCTAACTTGAGTTCGTTTGCCGGTGGATAATCATTGGAGACATCATCAGTCTTATCTGATGGAAGATAATACAGTCCATGTCGCTTCCGGTGCTCGGAGAGAAGAGATGTGGTTGCATTTGATGATTCAGATTCCTGCTGGCTCTGTTGAGAAAATATAGATGAATCAACCTTTTCCTCATGGAGAGAACTTCCAAAAGAAAAGGAGCCTTCTGGTAGCTGAATATCACTGCATATCGTTTCCAAGTCATCAAGATTCTCCTTGAGTACCAATCCTTCAGGTATTGGAACCCTTTCTTGAGCATTTATTGAGATCGGACCAAAGTCGTCAGAGAAGGCATCAAGAATCAGTTCAGTTATTTTGGAGATTTCAGCAAGTTTCATTTCTGAACTTCCATATTTTTGATTTAGACCATCAGGAATCTGTTGCCTAATTAACTCAATCAAACTGAGCAAGTTTCTAGATCTCTCAAGTAATTCAACATCCTGGCTCCACGTTAAAGGGCCCAAAGAAAATTGAACAAAATTGAACAATTCGACAATCGATCCAAGAGGTGAACTATTATCCTCTAACGATGCAGATGTACATGTCTCGACACGGGACAGGGTCTCCTTATCAATTTCAGAGAAAGTAACTTTCAGTGGTTGATTAGACCCCCTTGGGTTGAACTCCTCAACCTGTTCACGAATATCAGAAGTATCGTATGGTGCTAAAGCAGAAGCCTCTTGGCATTCCCTTGCAGAAAGAGATTCTGAACTACTCTCTACCAAATTATCAGCATATGGAGAGGAGTCAATGTTTTGCTCTTGAATGTAAGAATTCAAACAAAAGATTGACACCTTAAACGCTGACTGAACATAGACTGCTCTAACAGATGGTGGCAAGAGATTACTGCGAGGCTGTAACAGTGCCTCTAGGAGTTCAAATGGCTTGCCCGAAAATTGCACGTATTCCCCTGACACCCAAGCAGCAGCCGATAGTATCCTATGCATGAAAGGATTACCAAGCAATGCCGGATCAATAAGCAGATCGCGGCTGACCATGACAAGAGTAGGCCTTGCATCCTTGACCCTCATACCAATATCTATAAGCTGATTTTCAATTTCCTCCCCCTTTCGGCAATGCGGGATCCTCGACATTTCACCAAGAAGTGACACATACCAATCAAAATCGATGATAATTTCATATACATTTTCCCCACATGTGGCCAAGATGGATCCCAGAATTTCATTACAGAACTCAGGATCAGATTTAAGAGCAAGATTCACCAAAACTTTGCAGATTTCAGCTACATTACTCTCAGAAACCATAGCCATCACAAGCCGCAAGGACTCAAGTTTAACATTTGGATCCACATCACTCAAAGACTTGATTACGATCTCTTTGTTCTCCAAAATGGCCCACGAGTGTTTTGGCACAAGGATTGAAAGAGCATGCAATCCAAGATACTTCAAATTTGGATCATCATCAACCAAAAACTCTCGAGTTCTCTCAACCGCAAGTTTAACTGCCGATTCAAAGTCAGGCAAGCTAGTAACCACAGTCCTAATGCACTCAAACAACAATGACTTCGCCCCCGTTCTTCTCATATGCTCAGTTATAGGTTCAACAACTTTCCTAGCCAATCTTGGCTCTAGTAGAGCCAACTTTGAAAATATCTTCAGCACCTTAATTAGCACCCAATTGTTCTTGCTATCGACCAAAATCCTATAAAATTCGGGTGCCAATGGAAGATAAGATCTAGGGTCCTGGGAAGCAAGCTCGCTAAAGACCCCAACAACTGCTGACAAAATTCGAGGATCCGAACTATCTAAATTCTCAACCAAACGCTTAAAACACACCCTAACAGCATCTGGGAATTTCCCAAAAACCCTCAAAACCACACCAATTGCCTTCTTTCTAACAGAGACCTTACTACTCGACAGCAATGTAAAAATCTCAGGGGTTAAGTCTCTAGCAAGATCAACAGTTGCAATTCTCGACAAACAATCAAGAGCAAGACTGACCTCGAATTCATTGGTGCTAGTTAAATCTTTTCGGAGCTGGTTGGTGATGAGGAGGAGAACAGGGGTGGCTTCATGAAACGATTGGGAGGCAGCGAGGTAGCCGATCTTCTTTTGGATGAAGCGAGAAGATGACATAACCTCAACGACATGGAAAGCAGCCCAGTTCATATCGACGCCGTGGAGGGAGTTGAGGTAAGAGAGCTTTTGGAGAGCCGTGGACTTAGTTTGAGGGTCGGTAGATTTGATCTCGCGCCGAATCTCGTCCATGGCCTTCGAAATGGAAGCAGACTCTCCTATGAGTTGGAGGCGGAGGCCTTTGATAAGGTCATCCAGAGTTCGCTGGAAGAGAGTTTCCATGAGAGAGGAACCCGCCATTGATACAAACGAAGCTGCTCACTCTAATGTCTGCAATGGGAATTTGTGCTAGAAATTCATGATTGTAGGGCTGGTAATTGGCGAAAGACGAGAGATCTGAGAAATGAATGAAATCGATTCCATTCCATAGAGTAAAGCTCGATTGCTGCAAGGGGAAGTTGTGATCTTGGACAAAAAGATGGAAGGGAAAAATGAAAACTGCAGACTTTCGGATTGTGGAGTAAAATTCTGAAATGGGAACGGAAGGGACAGTGATCTCGATTTGGGTTTTCGAAGCGGAGCTCCGTCCAAAGTCCAACGCAGACGACAAACACATTGGATATGTGATGTGGGCCTATACTGGACCTGTGTAGCTCAATTTGAAAACAAAAAAAAAACCAAACTTTCTATCAGAGCCAGGTTTCGATCCTGGGACCTGTGGGTTATGGGCCCACCACGCTTCCGCTGCGCCACTCTGATTTGTGATATCCATTTCATTTGTTTTATATTTAACCTATTGTTACATTATACTACAACATTCGGAAATTGACCATCAACTAATTCTTCAGGCATT